GACTGTCAAAGGAGCTACATTAGGTAATTAGTGACATTCTGGTCCCCATTGGGGCTCCTACTATAGTACGGATCCCTGGGTTTTAAGGGTGCAGTGAGTACCCCCCCAAAAGATAAAATGAAAAGGAAAGAGCTCCAATCAGGGCGCTGGCCCCAGTTTGTCGGGCCAAGGCGCGCCGGGCGGACGAGCAGCCCGTGATGCTGGGCTCCCGGCCTGCTGAGAGCGCGCGCGGAGGGAAATCTCTCGCCCACAAAGGCTCCAAGGGGGGGAAGGGGGGGAGGAGGAAGCTCTGTATCCTATTAAACCCTATAAACCCTACAAACCCGGAACTCTTAACCCCAGACACTAGACCGTAAACCAAACCCAACAGCGGAACTCTAAACCCTATAAACCCTAAGCCAAACCCTGTCCCCTGTTCACTGCTCACGCTGTGAAGGGGGAGGTGGATGAGTGGATGACCCATCCACTGAATCCGCAATAAACCCTATAAAGCCTAGAAACCCCGAAAGCAAGAGAAGATAGGAACGATGCGGCTCCACGGGGCTCCTTGTGCCAATATCCTCCCTTGAAAAAGCCCTTCGCATCGCAGCCAGGGCGAAGTCTTAAGTCTCTCTACGTCCCCCTGAAGCGCCCCCGTACGCATTCTCACCCTAAGCCCTGAACCCTAAATACCTATAAACCCTAAACCCCGAACCCCTACAACCTACAGACTCTTCAGACCCTCAACCGCCCCACGCGCCTGGCATTGCAGGCGTATGCCAGAGGCGTGGGAGCACAGAGTGCGGGCGCGAGGCCATCAAGGCGAAGAACAACCCGCCACTTTGGGCGCAGGGTTGAATTATACACCTAGTTGGGGTTTAGTTTTATAGCAGGAGGGCCTCTGAAAAGATCTATAGTGCTTGAGGGGTTGTGCGCTCCGGTGTTTTGCCGTTGGGGCTTCTTCGGGCATGGCCCGAACCGCTGTCACCGATGGAGATTTGTTGGAGGATTTGTCGGAACTGCTCGTGATGAGTAGGAGGTGAGCCCTCAGAAAGAGTTCCATGTACTCCTGGGCTTGTAGTCTGAGTCTGCGACCCTGGAAAAACCCTATAAGCGCACGTGGGGCCGACGGCCACAAGAGCAAGGACCCCCTTCTTCAAACTGCCCAGAACCTATGCTTACCCGGATCCTCTCTTCAGAATTCTGCTCGCTTCTCGCTGGGTTGCCATCCGATTGCAGCTCAGGTCTGATCTGTGAGAGAGGGTCCGGGTACAAACGCCTAAGCTTCCTAAGCTTCTCAACCCCTAAGCTTGCTTTTCCTATAGGTCTGATGCTGTCTCTTGCTCCTCATAACCTGAATGGCCTAATGGAAACCTCCAATAGATCCGGATTTCTACAGTCTGCTCTTGCGGCCAGAGGCTGAGGGGTCGCGACTGCACCGTGACGCGTGGCTTTCGTGCAGATGCGCTGGGACCCCAACTGGTTTCCTAACAGTCTGCAAATCCCACTGCGGCAACCCTTTGAGGGCCTCAGGGTTGGGGGGCTTAGCACCATAAACCCGATGCCGACCCCTTTTAAACCAAATTAAACTCCCTTAAGTTCTAGGGCAGCGTCCGACCAAAAAAGTAACCCCTACAATAGCCTGCAATCGCAGCAACAGTAACCCTTGAACCGTAAACCCGAAAACCCTAAACCCCTACACCCCTATACCCCTACACCCCTACACCCCTACACCCCTACACCCCTACACCCCTAAACCCCTAAACCCCTAAACCCCTAAACCCCTAAACCCCTAAACCCCTAAACCCCTAAACCCCTAAACCCCTAAACCCCTAAACACCTAAACCCCTAAACGACACAAGGGCCTTGGGGTTCTGGGCTGAGGGGTCGGCCGACGAGCGGCGGTTTTTGTCCCGGCCCTTGCGCAGCTCGCCCGTCGAAGGGTGCACACACGGAGCTTACGGAGCACTCCGCATCCTGGGCTCCGCATCCTTGGCTCTTGCTTGGGGGGGGGCGGCTTTCCACGGAAGTTCGGGTCTTCAATACGATAACGGAATTTACCAATGATCTACTCATATCACAGTGTACAGTATATCCATATTCAGCTTCTTCAAATGATCTACTCACATCACAGTATACGGTATAGCTATATACACAAGAAATATTCACAGCTCCTGGCATGGGTGGATCTACGGTGCTCCCCGTGTGGCTCGGGGATGCTCAGGGTCAAAAGGGGGGTTTAGGGTTTAGGGTTTAGGGTTTAGGGCTTAGGGCTTAGGGTTTAGGGTTTAGGGTTTAGGGTTTAGGGTCTAGGGTTTAGGGTTTAGGGTTCTTCGGCAAGTCCTTGCAGGACCACGGCCACGTGGAGTGCGGAACGCTGGAGCTTGGCGACCTCAGAGGGGTGCGCTTTCTCTTCAGGGGCGCAGCTTTTGTCAACATATGGGAAGCTGCAGGCGCAGCAAGCACGGTCTGCTAGAGAGATGGAGGGAGAAAGAGAGAAAGAGAGAAAGAGAGAAAGAGAGAAATCCCTGCAAAGCCTGAACAAAGCCCGTAATATCCCTGAGCTCCTAGAATCCCTGAGCTCTCGAAAGGCCTGAGCCCTGAAGGGTTTAGGGTTTAGGGTTTAGGGTTTAGGGTTTAGGGTTTAGGGTTTAGGGTTTAGGGTTTAGGGTTTAGGGCTTAGGGTTTAGGGTTCCCTGGCAGCCTCTGAAAAGCCTGGGCTCCGCAGCCAGCAGCGGCACCGCCCATGGAACCTCGCATCACGGCGAAATCCGGAGATTTGAAGAAGGGCAGTATGTGCACAATGTATACGTATATACTTATATATATATATGTGTAAAACCAGTTGTACATATATAACTATGTGTATTTCTATATATATATGTAGACATAGCTATATCTATGAAGCTAGATTTTATGGCTATATGTATGAATCATATGGTTCGAGGCCGAAACTATCCGCTGTGTTGTTGCTGTTCTATACGATAATGCGCGGCGTATATGTTTATGTTTATAGAGAGAGAGAGAGAGATTTTCTATATCAATTTATGTTTGGTATTTATGTTGATATCTTTTTCCTATACATATATATATGTAGGAGCTTTCAGTTGTGAGGACAGGGTTGGATTTGGGGCTTGGGGCGTTTCGGGTGCAGAGTTTCAAGGCCTCTCGGGAGTCAGGCTTGGTCGTAGCGACTCGTTGAACCCTTCAGCTCTTAGGGTTCGGTTCGGGTAAGCCCTATTCAGCCCTGCTTCCTTTTCGCAGCACCATGTAGCCAGGTCTTTGACCTGACCTCACATATGTCCATTGTGACGGAGCCAGAAGATTCACGAAATTGTACATAGCTCGGCTTCTCCTACCGGAGGACGGGTGGCTAACGACCGCAGACGTTAAGCACCTGCAGATTTCTAGTGGGTCTTGAGCACATCTGCCGAGACGAAATGGTGGTGAAGTACGGCCACCTATAGTGGCAAGCATGATGCGTCATGAGCTCGGCGCTCAGATTCAAAAGTCCAGACGCTGCTTGGAGGTTCAGGGGTACATAACCTACTTAGTTGACTTAAGGGGGCTTCGAACTACAGCTGTATTTGGGGCTGTAAGCACCCCTGAACCTCCAAGTGCTCTGTCCTGGCAGCCAGCAAGAACCTGTATGTTGGTCTACTTTCAAGTCCTCCTCTTTACTGCTTCCTTTGCTGGGGGGGGGGGTTGTTCCAAACTAAGGGTCCGCCTTTTAGGGTTTGGGGTTTGGGGTTTGGGGTTGAGGGTTTAGGGTTTAGGGTTTACGGTGTAGGGTTTAGGGTTTAGGGTAGTTTCTGATGGAACCGCCCGCATCTCATCGAAAGGATCCTGACAGATCTCGGATCACAATTCTGAATGGCTGAGGCTCGAAAAAGAATCACTGGTACCATGGGCAGAGACGCTAGTGAGCACACCTTCTACTTGGAGGCTCACGGTACTTACTAACCGAATAGTAACTGCTCCTTATCACCTCATTATAACCATACTAGGGTTTTAAAAAAATCAGGGGCTACTTGTAAGTGGGTTAGAAGATACAGCACCTTAGAACCTCATTAAAACCATACTGGGGTCATTCAGGGGCTGCTTGTAAGTGGGTTGTATGATACAGTTATAACCCTAAACCCTAAACCCTAAACCCTAAACCCTAAAACCCTAAAACCCTAAACCCTAAAACCCTAAAACCCTAAACCCTAAATAGTTGCCCGTTCAGTACCACGAACCTCCAAGTAGCGGCCCTGAACACCGCCGAGGGCAGCTGCACACAGACTCTCTGACATTTGGTTTAGGGTTGAGGGTTGAGGGTTTAGGGGTTGAGGGTTGAGGGTTGAGGGTTGAGGGTTGAGGGTTGAGGTTGAGGGTTGAGGGTTGAGGGTTGAGGGTTGAGGGTTGAGGGAGGGTTGAGGGTTGAGGGTTGAGGGTTTAGGGTGGAAGACCCTCGCGCGTGCTCGAGGCCTCTGCCCCTGTCTTCAAAAGCAAAAAAACAAGCAGAGCCGGCGCCACATCTCTAAGGGTAGTTACACGGTCCCTTTATATGGGCCCTGAAAAGGGTATTGTACCCCATATATACCCCATATATACCCATACAAATTAAGGGTCCTTACATCAGAACCCTAAGGGAGGTTAGGGACCACATAAAGGGCCCATGAGGCTACCCTCAGACCATCAAGCGAGGCACTGGTTGAATTAGGGACCTAGACTTAGACTTTACAAGCCTGCCATTCCCCCTTGGTTCGCCCCTTAAAGAACCTTAATGAGGTTTAATTCTCCTTAAGGTGGGGTAGTCGGGAACCCTAGGCCCTTTTGGGCGCAGAAGGAACCCGAAACCTCAAGAGCAGCGAGGGACGCACCGCTGGGCTACCAAGAAGAGCAGAACCTCAGGCTCCCTACACCTCTGAACCCTACAGGAACCCCCAAAAACCTTATGAAAACCCCATTTCAACCTGTGAACCCTAGGAAAAACCTACAAAAAAACCCTACCCACAGGCCCTGAACTTCCAGAGGCATCACGAGACGACCTGCTGCACGTCACTGAGCTCCGCCTCGGGAACCTCATTGAGCACTTGGATGAAGAGCCGGGCATGGATCATCCTTACAGGGCTGGAGTTTAGGGTTTAGGGTTTAGGGTTTAGGGTTTAGGGTTTAGGGTTTAGGGTTTAGGGTTTAGGGTTTAGGGTTTAGGGTTTAGGGTTTAGGGTTTAGGGGTTAGGGGTTAGGGGTTAGGGTTTAGGGTTTAGGGTTTAGGGTTTAGGGTTTTCGGTTTCGGGATTTTTGGGAATCAAACGTACGGTCGTCGCTGGGAGCATTCTAGGCCGAAGGGCCTTTCCCACAGGAAGGTGTTCAGAGCCAGAACCGTTTCCGAATGACAAACTTTCTGGCAATCAGATCAAGTTTGCAGGGGGAAGTGCAGACCGAAGGCCGGGTCGTCTCCGGACAACGACATGTCTGGAATTAAACTTTCCGTGTCCATTGGGGCACGGAGGGGAAGGTTCTAGGCCAAAAGGGCCTTTCTCCTCAAAAAATGGGGCGTCCCCAAGCTTTTACAACAAAATGCCATGCCCCTTCGAAGCATAATGAAATACCCTAAACCCTAAACCCCAAACCCTAAACCCTAAACACGAAACCCCACAGGTAATTGTGACTGCAGCCCCCCTTGGATTTTTTCTATACATACAAACACCAAAGACCCCTAAGGAGACGGAAGAACGTTCTTGAAGTTAAGCGCAAGGTTGCCGAAAAATCACAGCCGCTGGGCCCTTTTGGGGGGTTTGGGGTTTGGGGTTTAGGGTTAGGGTTAGGGTTAGGGTTTAGGCCTAAACCCGCATCAAACAATTTCCTCGACTTTTCTGGATGTCTGCACTTGGGCAGTCCATGCAGGTTGGGCCTCGTTTTACAACAACTCATCTTTCCAGAACCGCTTGGGGTAGCCGGGCCGAAGGGCCCTTCTCGTCTCAAGGAATACGGAGTATAGAAGCGTATCGACGTACCACAACTTTTGATTTAAGCTGAAGGTGGCAAGTATTCCAGGGCGATTTGGAGATGCCTCAAATGCCTCAACCCTGCCCTCCAGCGGAGTTGGCCGGGGTCGCTCAGGAGAGGGTTGGGGTTTAGTCGTTCTGGCTAGGGTTTTGGGGTCAGGGATTGAGGGTAAGGGCGGGCTGAAACGAAAGAACAGTCAACCTTAGGGGCTCAAAGCCGGGTGGGGATTAGATTGCATGGAAAAAGGAAGTTCATTGAAGTTCTCCTACTCAGCACCCAAGCATCAGCTCCGCCGAGAGCTCCGCATGCCCGGCCGAGATAGCCAGCAGCTTCTCAGGGCTCAGGCACAGAAGGCTCGTGCACGTCCCTGCAACCGCGTAGCCCAAGTAGTGCCAGTCGGTCCATAAACATGCCTCGCACAACCAGTGCCGAGGCCCGACTCGCAAGACCGGGCTGTCCTTCGACAGCTTCGACACCTTGGAGACCTTCGACACCTTCGTCTTGCTGCTGGGCACGATCGACCCAGGCACTCCAGCACCAAGCCAAGACGATCCCCGAGCAAGAGTCCAGGTCCTGGCATTCGCTGGGTTGCTTCGTTCGGCATGCGTCACCATGCCTTCTCGCTTGTAGAGCACGAAGTTGAAGGCGACAAAGATCATCCGCTGGCAGAAGAGCCCAGGCGAGAATAATGCCTCGTTGGGGGCCACCGTCCAGTCTTCGAGACCTTGCTTGGGCAAAGGTCTACACTCTCGTTACGTATTGCTTTGGGTTACAGCGTGCTGTCTTTAGCCAACCGCCTACCTTTGATGCAAAGGTCTCGCTGGAAGCTGGGATATTTCGCCATGAGCCCAGACAGCATCTGATGGCGGCCGATGACGGCCCCAAATGACTCGGTAAAAAGCTGCCCGTGGAGCAGTTCGGGCAGGAGCATGGCGATATCTCGCTTGCTGGGCAGGTAGACTCTCTTGACCGTCTGCTCCAGGTAGCCTTTCAACTGTCGCTCCAAGGCCCAGGACACCGGAAATGTTTCCAGGAAGTCCTTGGTAGGTCAGTCACCAGATTACAGCAAAGGGCACATTTTTTTGGGTCGGTTACTTTACAGGGGAACCCTAAACCCTGAACCCGTAAGCCCAAGAGTCAGAAAGCTGGCAGTCAGCCTCCCCTTGCTGCCGCTGCACACGGCGAATGTCCGAGAGATCGTTGGTCACGATCGACGTGAACATTGAGGCCTAGGTTGCCAAGGTAGGGTTCAGAGGTTGAGGGCTTGATGCAGACCCTAAACCCCAAACCCTAGACCCTAAACCCTAAACCCTAGACCCTAAACCCCCCACCACCACCACCACCACCCAAAACAAACGAAGAAACGACTCCCCTGCAGCCACCAGAGCCGCCAGGAGGACCATGGTCGTTGCTGCGAGGGCAAGGCCTGGCGGGCACCCGCAGGGCGCCCTGGGCTTAGGGACCACTTAGATCTCATCAAAAGGGTTCAATAGCCCTGATTGAACCCTAGACCTGAATTAAGCCCGCAACCCTAAACCAATAGGCGGGGGGGGGGGATTTTTAAGGTGCCCCTGGCTCTATATTTTTTTTGCTTCAGTGCTAGTTCAATACAGCACTGCACCGGTTTCCACGGCTTCTGCTTCCGACATGCAGCACCTGCCTCGATCCGTCTGCGAGGTAAGCAGGACGTTGTCCGTGGTCTTGGAGGGAGGGATCCTGTCAGGGGACTAAAGGAGGGACCCTTATTGAGAACCTCAGGGGGTTGTTTCGGGGTATTTGGGGGGCTATTTAGGCATCTTATACCCATGAATCCTGGAAATGGCCCACTCCAGCGTGACGCGGTACTGCTCCACCGTCGACAGGTCCATGAAGTCGGAGGGCCCCTCGGTGTTGACCCATCCATCCAAGGCTCGGCCGGACGCAAACCAGGCGCAGGTCAGCCAGTGAAGGCCGATCAGGCACATGACGATCGTGGAGAAGACGTTCCACGCCGCACGCACCTTCAGCCTCCGGAGTTCGCCTGCCCCACGAGTAAGAGAGACCCTAAGACCCTAACACCGTGACCCTGTGCTTGACCGTAAGACTTGTGCTTCTTCAGCCTTCTTGGGATTCTTACCCGCCTCGGTTCCATCTGGCGAAGATTCGCGAAAGCCCCCGGAAGGCGTCGATTTCGGAGCTGTGCCGAAGGCGGAGAATCTCAGGCCCTGTGGTGGAGGGGCACCACGTGCAACGGCTTACTGGGCCAGGGCTCGCAGGTCTAATAATGTCTATGACATTCTATGGCTCGAGACCACACCCACTGAGAATTTTCTGTAGAAGAATCTCGGAACTATCGAGCCTCGAAGCAGAAACTGCACATGGACTGAAGGGCTGCTTCCCGCCACGGCGGCGCAGATGAGCAAGATCAGAAGCACGACCTCCAGAAGCACATTCCCAAGGGAGGTCAACTCAGCGTAACTGCAACAGGAGATGCTCCGCGATGTCCAAAACATCGGCAGGCTTAGCGTCCAGAAGATGATCCGGAGTAGCTCCATCACCCAAGGCTCATGGAAGGACAAGGCGAGAAGCGGTAGGGATATGCAATCCCACAGCAAAACAGCGGCAACCCCCGCAGCCCACAACCGCCTCCAATTCGACAGCCGGTTGTGTGAGACATCCTCGCCGTTCACCACGACGGTTGTGGAAATCGTCTTCGCGCCCTTGCTGCTGCTGAGTCGGCAGGTGCCTAGCTCTTGATGCCGCTTTGTCCATGACAGGCTAAGGGCATACCCAGATTTTCCGTCCTCGTCCTCCTCTTCATCCTCCTCTAGCGATTCTAGCACGGAGCTCGGCTGCACAATCGACTCCTGGAATTGGACCTTTTGGGAATTTCAGGAACCACGCCAGGATGCGGGTAATATGGGGACCTTAATGATTGGAATAGGGTTTGGGGGGTTAGTGTAGTATAATTCCAAAGGGATCATAAGGGAATACTATCTGTACTAATTCCGACCCCTATATTACCCTGGTTTGTGTTGGTAGCTTGTACAAAAGGAACCCAAAGACAAAGGGCACCACTGGGCTACCAAGCGACTGGGTTTCCCCTTGGGGGCGCAGGCTCCATCACCATGCGTGGGTCCGAGGGAGGCGCCTCTTCGCGCGACGCAGGTGGGGATCGCAGCGTTGAGGGTGCTGACACGGAGTGAGAAGAGCCCCTGTGCTCACCTTCATGTGATGCCAGCAGGCCCTGAATGAGCTGCTCGATTTGCTCCATGACAAGCTTCACCCTGCCATTCGTGTCCATGGCCGGCCCGATCCCTATGCCCCAAACCCTAAACCCTAAACCCTAAACCCCAAACCCCAAACCCTAAACCCCAAACCCCAAACCCTAAACCCTAAACCCTCAGCCCACGGAAGCCTGGAGCCCAGACACAGTCCAAGCGCAACATGCGGAGAGCACGAGCAGCGTCTTCGACTTGAGACTTGGGTGGAAGTCCCTTCGGGTTTAGGGTTGAGAGTTTAGGGTTTAGGGTTCAGGGTTTAGGGTTTAGGGTTTAGGGTTTAGGGTTTAGGGTTTAGGGTTTAGGGTTTAGGGTTTAGGGTTTAAGCCCTCAACTCTCTGCCTGGAGTTGTAGGTTGAAGCTATTTCGTGGCCTGCGCTGGCGACCCTTGCTGCCGCCATGATGGTTCTTATGACGAATAGAATACTCCTAAACCCTAAACCCTAAACCCTGAACCCTGATAGCCCTAAACCCTAAACCCTGATAGCCCTAAACCCTAAACGATGCCATTTTGACGATGTTGCCTCCTATCATTACGACACTCAAGCTGCCTTGACTGCTCCGTGGGACATGAGGCTCAAGATTCGAAACGTTTGTGTTCTTGAAGGCCTCATCTGCCTTGAAAAGAACAAAAGCACGAAACTTGAGTGATTCCGTACTGTCACTATCTAGCCCTAAACCCTAAACCCTAAACCCTAAATCCTTCACCCTTACTAAACCCTAAACCCTAAGTACCCAGCTGCAGGCTTCAGCCTTGGCTCTTGCCGCGGCCTTCGCTTCAGTCTGGGCCCGCCAAGCCATCGGCATGTAACACAAAATAATATGCATATAATATCATATCATATCACAATAATGTAATGTGTATATAATATAGTATCATATAATATCATATAATATCATATCATGTAATATCATATCATATCACATCATAGCATATAACAATAATGTAGTATGATACAATATGTTTAAAGTAGAAGAGCATAGATATAGAATAGAATCGAAGCGAATAGAATAGAACGAGAAAAAATGAATAGAATAGAATAGCATAGAAAAGAAAAGAATCGAATAGAATGGAACAGCATAGAAGCGAATCGAATAGAATAGAATAGAATGAGCATAATGCAAAATGGATTTTGAGATACTGTACTTTGACAAAGGGGTGCTGGCTGCTAGCAATCCATTTGAGACTGAATGTCTGCGTACAAGTGTTTGCTGCTGCGCACCTCCAACTCATGAACGACAACGCTACGCGTGCTCTAAGCTGATCTGATACTCAACATCTTTTCCGCAGCTCGTCGCCAAGAGCGGACTGATGTCGGTGCAGGGGAGTTGAAAGAAAGTCAGTCTGCAAGCGTGCTGCGCAGCACGCGCCAACCGCATTCTGCAGCAGCGCCTGAAGATGTTGCCGCCGTGGCTGAGCTGAATCACGGAGGCCGGCAGAAGCTGGAAGCCCCTGCGACTGCATATTGCTGCATCGTGCTTACTAGGGGAGCATCGTCTGGAGGGTGCGTCACGCTGTCTGGCGCCAGTGCTGACTGGTTTCAAGCGACTTCAATGCACTCTCTTGGCATCCACTAGCGTGATGGTTCCCACATTGGGGCATGTTGCATGTTCTGGCGCAGCCAAAGCAGCGTGAAAAGCTAACACGGGTGGTGTCGTCACATCACGGTTCGTGGAGGGTCCTCAGGGGCATCGTCTGCCTATCGGCGTCCCACAAAGGCCAGCTCTATTCACCTGCAAGACCTTGCAAGTGCTACAATGCCTGCTGCAAAAGTGACCTGCGTTTCCCAGCATCAAGAGACAAGATGCACTTGGAGATTGTACTCCTGCCCTATGGGCCACTGCCCTAGTTCTGCTAAGATCGAAGCAGCCATCCTGCACAAGGATGTTGCTCGCCTGTTGGAGCGAGCTTGCGGCTGGCTTTGCAAAGATGCAGCTGGCTGGCATGACGGGGACAGGTGCGGACGAAGATGACTCAAGAGCTCTGCATCCCAGACATGCCAGCCCGACTCTGATAGCTCGGATGGGGAGGATCTCGGCACGACAGTGTTCAAGTGCGAGGTGCACGCCTTGTGAAGACAATCATGGCAGTGCTTGAGACAGTCCACAGACCTCGCTGGACTGCGTGGCATGCCCCACTCATTTGCAGCTGAACGCCATATGCGGCCACATGCAGACACGCCAGTTGAAGTACCCCGGGGTCACCTTCGTACCAAAGAATGCAGCCGGTGCACTTGGAGAGGCTCCCAAGGCCTGGAGCACTGGTCGGGCCAGTTGCCCTTCTTCGACAAGAAGGGGCGCGGTCGGGGGCCACCGCAATCGCGTAATGCATGCTTTGGCCTGGGAGCTGCTCATGGACCGATGTGCAAATGAGGCCTCAACTTTGGAGAAGAGGGTTTAGGGTTTAGGGTTTAGGGTTTAAGCCTACAGTGCCTACAGTGCCTACAGTGCCTAGGCAGGTCTCCACGGCATCTCAGGTCTGAGCTGCCTGCCTGAAGGCAGCGTGCAGAGACCAGCATCGTCGCGAAGACCACGGGCTGCGTCGACTCTTCTGCCCAGCGGGATGCACAACTTGCCGACCGCGATGTTGCAAGAATGTTCCAGGCTCAGGAGGCTGGCGCATGGGCCGCCTTGCACCGGCATGCCCCGAAACCCTCTACCACCCTGAAAGCCCCTAAACCCTAAACCCTAAACCCTCTACTCGCCTCTGCCTCATCTCTGCAGCAGGCCAGGTTCCAAGAGTGTGTGGCTGCTCAGGCAGGGCTGCGAACTTGCGGCCCGGCTAGCTGGACAGGTTTCGGGTTGGCTTTGCTGATGACCCTTCAGGACTCGTAGGGTTTAGGGTGTAGGATTTAGGGTTTAGGGTTTAGGGTTTAGGGTTTAGGGTCCAGGGTTTGGGGCTTAGGGCGTAGAACATCGACAGCCGGCGTACCCTGCGCAGGCCACCGAGACCTCGGCCTGAGCCGCTGCTCCTCTCAGCCGCACTCTCTGCCGCAAGTGAGGCCCAAGGCTTGTGTAGAAGCCGGGAAAGAACCAACGTGCAGCAACCTCTAAACATGTTCAGGGACCTTTCGGACCTTGCGGGAGGGGCACGCTCCGCTCCTTGCGCGCGGGTGACTTGCCCGGCCCTGCCAGGCGGACGCCTTGCAGGACAGCCGCGCCCTGCGCCTCAGAATGCCTGCAGCCCTTGGTGGGGACCTCCACGACCATCCCGAGAGCATCATCGACCCGCCCCTTTCCGAGCACGAGCAACGACAACGATCTTGAGGAAGACAGGGGCGGGCGCTGCGAAACCGTCATGCACCTTCACGCCCCACGCGCAGAAACAGCTAGTCTCTGGTGCGTGTCGCACACAATTGCGGATGACGTGATGGCTTGCAGGCAGGCCAGCCGCACATCAAGTCAAAGGCAAAGGCAAATCACGGGAGACAGCAATGCCGAGCCGCGTCCTATGTCAGTGTTTGTTGGTATCGGTGCCATCGGAAGCTAGTCTTGGGCTCTGTAAAGTGGAAGCACGAGCCAGGGCTGGATGCCACGGCCCAGTCAGCACTCTCGCGATGCCGGTTGCATAAGGCAGGGAGCAGCTGCGCAGCGGAATGTCGCCAGCAGGTAGCTGCGGGAACCGTGAAAAAAGAGGACCATGGGTCAGTTGCATAGGCCGGCCAGCATCAAAGAAGCATGATACAGCTCAGGGACAGGGGCTGTGTGGAGGGGCGAGGCACAGGGCCTCTGGTCTCTGTGATCTTGTGAAGTCTCCAGCCGTTGAGGACTTTGAGTATCATGGGGTCCTCAACCCTATGCCCGGAACCCCTAGGGTGTAAGTACCCGCTTGTTCAAGGGGCTTGTGCTTAGGCTTCGGTGTTTCGAGCCTTTCTTATGGACTGCGCTCTGAAGATTCAGGCTGAGGGCCTACAAAGCTTCTACGCTGCTATAGGGGTTTGGGGCTGAGGGCTCTCGACACTACGGAACACGGATCAAGCGAGCCGCGCGCAAGCACACTCAGCCCGAAGAAGGTCCGTGATGACATAAGGCAGCGCCTCAAGTCAGTGCACAGGCTTCAACGAGCTACGGCACACGTGGGAAGAAAGCTGCAAGAACAGCGCACCAGCAGAGCTCACAAAGGCTGGGACGCGGAGACGGGTCTTTGGGAGCCTGGCATCACCTCTGAACGCCCAGGAAGCTTCTAGATCCTCGACCTGACCTGGACCTTCGCCAACTGAGAGCAGCAGTGCTGCAGTAACTGTTGAAGCCTCTGCTTGGCCAGCGGCAGTGCTGAGGACCCACAGCACCAAAGGTGCCTGCGTGGACTCATCTCATCAACTCAATGACGGAGGCTGCGACGTGAACACAGAATGGGTAGTGCGAGTTCTGGCCAAGGGAAGACAACGAAGAACTCTAAACTGAAATTCCCGAAGCGCGTCAGCTCTGCGGCACGTTCGATCCAGCACCAACGATCTTGCGGAAGACTCGGACGGACTCTGCAAAACCGGCGTGCGCCTTCACGCACTCCAGTTGCAGAAGCCGCCAGCCTCTGGCGCGTGTCGCACACAATTGCGGATGGCGTGATGGCTTTGGGGCAGACCAGCCGCACGTCAAGTCAAAGGCAAAGGCAAATCACGGGAGACAGCAATGCCGAGCCGCGCCCTATCTCAGGGGTTGTTGGGATCGCTGCCGTCGGAAGTTGCTGCAAGTCTCGGGCTCTGTAGCGTGGAAGCACGAGCAAGGGCTGGATGCCCCGGCCCAGTCAGCACTCTCGCGATGCCGGTTGCATAAGGTAGGGAGCAGCTGCGCAGCAGCATGTCGCCAAGACTGCCAAGAGATAGCTGCGAGAACCGTGAACAAAGAGGCCCATGGGTCAGTTGCTTAGGCCGGATAGCATATATAGCATCAAAGAAGCATGATACAGCTCAGGGACAGCGGCTGTGTGGAGGGGCGAGGCACAGGGTCTCTGGTCTCTGTGATCTTGTGAAGTCCCGATTTCCTCCACAACAGTAGTCTGCCCCAACCTCTCTTGCCTCCGGGC